GCTGAAAAGGTTTGGGAACCTCTGGCCTTCTACGTAGATGGATTGGATGCATTTCATGCAAATTAATAACCTCAGGCACACAGTCGCTCAATTAGGATATTCTGAATTCATAAACCCTCAAATGGTCCTCATTTCCTGTTTACACTTCTGGTCTTTGGGGCCAATATGACCCCAAAATTTATAGTTATTGTAAAAAATTTTTTAATTTTTAATCATACAAATATATAATTTTTTTGTTTACTTCTCATCTATACATTAAAGCTGTGAGATATGAAATATGAAATACTTTTGTACCTATTTTCGTACAAAATTCCTCAACTACACCATTAGCTTTCATGTGAAATATCAAATTTTTATGAAAAAATCACTTAAATGATGATCTAAATTTGATTCAAGTTGTTTCTGGATATTGATCTAGGTGTTGGGTGTAGAATTCTGCCATCTGCCTGTTAGAGAAAAACTTGTAGAAATTAGAGTTTTTGAAAGAATTGTGTAATGCCCGTAAATATCCAGCAAAGGTCCATAGAGATCCATTAATTTTTCTGGAAGTGGCCAACTGCTCCTCTCACAACTTTTCTGATATATATTTTGTAAATTATATATATTGAAACATTATAAAATACATAAAAAAACTGTATTTTTCTAAAAGGTTAGACTTTGTTTTTATTGTTTGAGGTATTTTGAAGTGCCCGCTTTTGCAATAATGCCACATAAATTTGCAGAAATGCCACACAAGTTTGCATGCACATATCTTTTCAATCTAAAAAATAAATCATTTGTGCTCTAGTACCAGGCCTTCATTTCTGTGTGGAAATTTTCAGATTTTTTTTTTTGACAAATGAAAAAAAAATAGAGATTTTTTGGCATTTCCCATTCATTTTCAATTGAGGTCATATTGACCCCAAAGACCAGATTTGTAAAAAAAAAATGTACATACCTTCAGAACAACCGAATCAAGCCCATTTTTTTATGTGAATACAGATAGAAAATGTTGAAAAGTCACAAAAACTAAGTAAAAGTTGATTGGGGTCATATTGACCCCAGGGACCGATTGAGGGTTAACATTAGAATGAGATTAAGAAATTAATGTGCGTACTAGAGCTGCACGATTCTGGATAAATTGAGAATCACGATTTTTTTGTCTCAAATAGAGATCACAATTCTCCCACGATTCTGAACTAAACAAAATAATATGTGGCAAAATATTATTGCTGCAGTCTATTTAAAAGTGTTTAATTAATTTGAATGTATGATTCAACATTTTAATATACACTACCAGTCAAAAGATTTTGAACAGTAAGATTTTTTATGTTTTTTAAAGAATTCTCTTCTGCTCACCAAGCCTGCATTAATTTGATACAAAATACAGCAAAAGCAGTAATACTGTGAAATAATTGTACTATTTAAAATAACTGCTTTCTATTTGAATATATTTTAAAATGTAATTTATTCCTGCAATCAAAGATGAATTTTCAGCATCATTACTACAGTCTTCAGTGTCACATGATCCTTCAGAAATCATTCTAATATGCTGACTTGCTGTTCAAGAAACATTTTATTATTATTATCAATATTTAAAACACTTGAGTAAATTTTTTCAGGATTCTTTGATGAATAGAAAGATCAGCATTCATCTGAAATAAAAAGCTTTTGTAACATTATACACTCTACCATTCAAAAGCTTGGAGTCAGTATTTTTTTTGAGGGGGGGGGGGTAATAATATTATTTTGGGTAATAATAAATTAATACTTTTATTTAGCAAGGATCCTTTAAACTTATCAAAAGTGATGATAAAGACATTTATAATGTTAAAAAAGATTTATATTTCAGATCAATGTTGCTTTGAAATCACAGGAATAAATTACATTTTAAAATATATTAAAATTGAAAGTTATTTTAAATAGTAAAAATATTTCAACATTTTACTGTTTTTTGATTTTTGCTGTACTTTGGATCCAATAAATGCAGGCTTGGTGAGCAGAAGAGACTTTAAAAAAAACCCTTAAAAAAACTTACAGTTCAAAAACTTTTGACTGGTAGTGTATATGTATTTAAAATATAATAATTTAATACACCAATTTAATATTAAAATTATGAAAAAGATGTTTTAATCAATGATTCAACGACTCGCTCATAAACCTACTGGATGAATCAGCGTTTTTGAACGATTCTCTTGAATAAATTATTCATTCAATTATACATTTTTTTAAGTCACTTTTCGCCACTTAGTGGCGAAACAATGCAATCGACGCAAACGTTATGTGGCAGTTACTTTCAAACGCGGATTTGCTCTATTTTTGTCCGAAATGAGATCGTGTGGTTGTCTGAATCGAGATCGCGATCTTTTAACGATTAATCGTGCAGCTCTAGTGCGTACACGTGTTGTGATTTAAAGGAGACGTATTATGCTTCGTTTTACAATATGTAATATAAGTCTCTGGTGTCCCCAGAATGTGTCTGTGAATTTTCAGCTCAAAATACTCCACAGATCATTTATTATATCATTTTGAAAATGCCTATTTTG